AATCAGGACCCTACACAACTCAAATTTGTAGGAATCCAACAGGTTAAAAAAAATCAGAGGGGTGGAGACACTATTAGACAGCTTAACCAAAAAGAAGATGAATTCAGATTTAATAATCTCTAGCTGAAAATGTTATATATTGATTTTAATATCAATTGTTACTTACATCATCTTCATAGTCATATTATACCACAGAACTGGGGATTTTTATTATTTTTTCCTTTTTTGATTTTTTAATTTCCTTTATTGTGTATACTTTGTTTTCCACCCTTAAATATGATGGTAAGATTTTCTATCTTAGGTTTGCAACGCCTTTTTCTGTATTATACATTTGATATTTGAATTGAAAAGGATTTTAATCTATTCCACACTGCGGATGTTGTTAGTTATAGATGCTGTTTTATCTTATCCCATTGTTATGGAGTACAGTGGATAGATATTATGCGTTATCTCTATATACTGTATTATTGCTGCATTAGTTTTTTCTACATTTTATAGTTTTTCTGATTAGAATTTTGAATTATAATTATTATGTTTGGTTAAGGAAGTGTTAATAAGTTTACTGAAAAGTAAAAAAGGGAAAACTGGTGGATGATCATACTCCAGTAAAATCAACTTCTTTGCAATATGTTAATTAAATCAATACAGCAAAATCAATTAGACTTAATAAGATCAGAAGATTTTATCATTTAAAAAAAGAAAAGACCACAGATAGTACAGAAGTGTGTAAAATGGTGGTGTCTAGCACCAGTTGGTTATTGGTTGGGAAAGCTATTATAAAGTCCTGTAGTTCTCTGGTGTCATCTAATGTATCCTCCCGGTCAGTAAGGGTAATGGACTCTAAAGCTTCAGTGTAGAGTTTTTGTTCAGTTTTAGCAGGGCATGTAAAACTTGATAAACATTGGGAGCTCACCTCAGAGTATTGCTGGGAATTGGTATGTCCTTCTCTGCTTGGCGGCCCTGTGGATTTTTTCCCTTTAGGACGTATGTCTGCAGCACACAGGGATCCTCCACTGCCACCTTGGTTGTAGTGTCTGGGCAGCGAGGAGAAGAGATCTGCCAGTCTCTCTGTGCAGCTTTTCTCTTTTTTTTTTGCGGGACATGTTGGGGACAAGTGCTTGCACCTTGTGAGGCCAAAACTGCCAGTCTCTGTTGTCCCTGTACATGGTATAGAGCTCCGGTTTGCAGCGCTATTGAGAAGCTCAGCTTCTTATCAGCCATTCTGGCCGCGCCTCCCAGCAAAAGGAAATTTTTAAATAGCAGTGCTAGGCCCAAATTTCAACGTAAAATAAAAGTAAAATACTACCTCTAAAACAAAGAAAAAATCAGTTTAACCTAAAATAAAGACACTGCAATTGTAAAATAAAAGCTAATACACTCCCCAAAAAAGAAAACTCAAAATGCAAAACCCCTTTAAATGAAGTTTTTCAGCAAAAAAAAAAATTGCAGCAGATAAGACAGCAGTTAAAGTGACTGCTAATCTCAAATCAACCACAAAATAAAATGAAAGAAAAAAAAAAAACCCATAATAGAGATAAAAAGGCAGCAAAGGGGTTAATTGCCCAAATAGCTAGCAGTTAGAATAGAAGTACAGTTTTATAACTAACCGTAATCTCTCCCTATGCAGTTTGTCAGCTTTTCCTATGCTTTTTAACAGTTTCCAATTAACTGACATAATGGCTGTTCTGTGCACCTCTCTTTTATACTAATAGGGGCTTACCTAACCAAAGGCCCCCTTTATTGGCCCTTCCAAACCTGCTGGTCATAGTTCAAAGGCCAAGCAGTTCATAATGATTTAAAAAAAATTTTCCTTGATGAATTTTTACATCATTTCACTGGAACTGCAGAATTCCCCACAAACCCAAGGTAGCGGCGAACCAAAATTTCATGTCTCATTTTGGCCAATATAACATATTATTTTATTATGCTTGTTTAATTGTTATTGTGTGACTCATCTGACATTAAGGTCATTGTTGCTAGTGGTGAGCACAATTGAGCTAAAAACAAAATAATACATAGATTTTCTGTATCGTTTTTTTGGTTAGAGATATCTATGGAGCACTCCCAAATTACTCATTAGCCTTCCTGTCTTATACATATGATGATGACACAAAAAGACTGTTCCCGGGCATCAATCAGTCCAAATTTGATTGTATTTTGTATTTAGTATTTAAGCTAAGGTTACTAAGAGTATAAAATGGTGCAAATGTTTGGAATAAATTGCCAAAAGTTTCCAAGAATCCTCATTGGTGAATCACTATGATTTGGGTCAAATCCTGGTTTGTGTAAATTGGTTCACTTATCTTTAGACAAAATATCAATCTGCTAAAGACTACTCTGGCAGCAAGGTGGTTAATCATGCACTAATGCAACACTCTTAACAAGGACTTCATTTATCTAAGAGCCCCTCTGATGGTGAAACCATAATATGAAAACTTTTGTCTAGCACTAGTGATTTGAAGATGTTTTGCTCCATGCATGTGAACTCAGCAGGTGATTCTTGCCTAACTTTGATGTCAAACAGCACAAAACTTCAGTGACTAGTAGCTTCAGAAATGCAATAGACATAGCTGAGTCTTCATATGAAGCTCATGCTTGAACTACATCAGAAGAACTGACATCTATTATGGCAAGTAAAGACAAGTGTTTGAAAAGAGATTCAAACAGAAGTGTCAAAATTTATAGTGCATAGTTTTATATAAGTTGATTTTAACCAAGCATATCCCTATGAACTCTGCAGGGTAGAAAAGAAATTTCAAATGGCAGAGAAATTGTTGTCATCTAAGGGCATGAGATGTTTTAATAGCTTACGAAAGAAGGTTTCTGAAAGGTTTTATGGTGATCCACATATTTTGACTGACTAATAAGACCCATCATTGCGGTGGTGGGAACAATAGAAATGTACACATCAGTGATGTGGAGAAAAAAAACCAAAATAATTGGCTGTTTCTCCATCTTTCAAGGTTGTGCATTGCAGAAGATAAACAGTGCTGTTAAAAATAAATTTGGCCTGCATTTTGCAACTATTTTATTTTGACTTTCAAATATTTGACTTTCTATTGCAATTAGATGTTTAACAAAATGAAAAAAGTTTTCATTGGCAAACTATTATTGTCAATGATATTTGCATATTTATTTTACTACATGTCACTGTCTTAATTTGTATTGTGTTCAGTTTAAAAAAAAAAGAAAGAAAGAAAAAAAAAAAAAACTTTATAAATTAACAGTTTTCATGAATTCATGTCCTACTGGTTTACTCACAGCAGTGTTCTTAGACTGTCACCACGGAGCCCAGTGTCACAAACCAGCCTAATTGTCCTTCCCAAAATGCTCTTACGTTCTATTTGACAACCATTAAAATGAAGCAAGTCTGCTTGGGTAAGGGCTCAAAACTCAGCACTTTTGCTATAATTTCCTGCTTGTAATCAACTGATAGCAGTATGATTGGAGCTCTTAATAACCCAGGATTATTAGAGTACCCTGTGTGGCAAATCACTTAATCAGTCTCTGTGCTCCAGAGTCTCTGAAATAAACTGCATTTCTAAACTATAAAAAGCATGTTTAAAACAGAAACACAGGCCCAAATAATTTCATGTTATCTCCAAGCAGGAAGTTTTAATTTAAGACACTTAAATGAAATGGATCTCATTTTCTGCTAAATTTAAACAGACTAAACATTGTCAAAAGATTGAGTTATGAAACTGAAGGTGCTTGTAATTATTTAAACAGCTTAATTAAATTTATGATGGAAATGCTGATTATCTAAATTTCTAATTGGGATTTGGGATTATTGGAATTAAAATATTGTTCACATGAGTTGAAAAGGGTATGCCTTACCTTTTCAGATAGAAATGTATTTATTGTTTTTAAAAGAAGTTAAAAATATGGCAAGGTGTTTGTTATTTTAGTCATAATGTCAAATAACTTTTATTAGACTGGAGTGCAGAAAATGCAAAATCGGAATAATCAAAAGCAGTTGCCAACAGAATAAAGGCCCAGAATCAAAATGATTTATGTATTTTTGTGCATTATTATTTTTCATTTGCAGAGTAGGCATTACTAACTACTTCTGCCTGAAAGGGCACTATTTTCAAGTTTTCAACCAAAGGAAGTCCTACTTTTTTAGAAGTCATTGTCATGATAAATGTTCATAAATGTGATCAATAAAACCAGGTCTGTCCTTGTGTTGCTGTTTGTGTTTGGATAAAAACAAAATTCTCCATGAATATCACATATTTAATGTGGGTAGGCCCAAACCAAACAACTATGACATTCAAAGAAATAATTGATGGGCTATCCTATGATCCCCTGGGCCTCCAGTGCAGCCAATAAGTATCCAGAGAGAAGGAACATGCAATCCTGTGTGGGGAGAAACATGTCTACCCATGTGGACTTTGGACACCAAAAGGCAAATAGACTGTTCACTTTGCAAAGAAAAGTTGCACTTTGCAATGGAAGTTGTAGCAGAGCATAGTGAATAAGATGTAGCTCTGTTGACTTCCATCATCCGATCATATGCATGCAAGAATGCTGTTTTTTAATTGTCTTTGCATGCACCTGTGTATTCTTTGCAAAGTGAAACTTCACAATCAGGGGTGGACTGACCATTTGGGAACTTGGGCACTGCCCGAGGGCCGGGGTCAGTAGCGGGCCCCATGATATTCCCCTGATACCTTTCATAGGCTTTATTTGGGTGTGGTTTGAGTGTGGGCGAGGATACAGGTGCCTGATGATCCCCTATTGCCCAGGGGCCCCATGAGTTGTCAGTCCGCCCCTGTTCACAACATTTGCTAAGCTTTGGAGCAAATTCACTTGAAAATTGCAACTTCATTTACAAAATGAACACCCAATTTGCCTTTAGCAAGTAACCCATGCTTGCATTATATTGGATACCTGTGATCATGGGTACTCCACACAGGACATTTACGTACCAGCCATTTTATATCCACCAAGCATTGGCAGCAAGTGAAATTCCAAAAGAAAAACTGCACCACTCCAAGCTGTAGCCTCCCTGGCGGTATTCCCGAGTGTAGCTCGGGGTAAAGTTTCAGTACCACAATCGGTAACCCCGAGCTACTCTCTGGAATACCTTGCAGCGTTGCACCGGGATCTGTTCTTCTCTTACCTTGTCCTGCGCTCCCCGTGATGTCTCTCCTGCAGTGTCCCCGGCAATGTCCTCCGGCGGATGTCGGCATCTGTCTTCTGGGTTCCGTCCCCTGCAACGTCGGGACGTATGGGGACGGAACGGCGGGAAATTTAAAAATGACAAAAAGTGACATTCACTAAATTCACTAAAATAACATAGTAAAACATTACTATATCAAACCATTTCACATACATTTTGTCCCTAGTGCTTTGACCTGTTCCCTGCCTACATTTTTACTGTTCTTTCTGCCTGGAAACTGAGAAACGTTCATGGCATCCAAAAAGCATCCCTTTAGGTCAAAATCGGTTTTTAGACCAGTTAGAGAACAGCAATAGTAAATTAGAACTACTTGCAGAATTGAGTGATAATGATTCGTGGGGAAATTTGTCATCAGGCACTGAAAATGATTTTGCGACTTTGCTCAGTGATGTGCGAACTTGGCGCTATTTTTCAATTTTCAGTGTTTTTGGTTTGATTATATTATTGAATTACATGTATTATTATTATATTATTATTTTTTTATGATTATTTATAAAATTATAATTTATGATTTTGTGTTTCAAATTTTATCATACCCGGGATGTTTACTAGACTCTTGTTCAGACAGATTTTAGTGAGTTATTCCTAAAAATGACAGGCCTACAATAAAAAAACTACATATTTCCATGCAAAAAATGTACCGCTTTGAGCACAGAAATATGGACATAATCAGACTGCTAGGGAGGTTAAAACAGCCTCTTAGGTAGTCCATTGCTCCAGGTACAGGATACAAGAGCTTGTTTATCTCAATACATGTATCAAATACATGTCTCAATACATGTATCAAAATTGAAGAATGAGGCAGCACTCTATGCAAGTCCAAATTAATAGAGTACTTCTATGATTAATCCCTAGGAGGAGCAAAACATGTCAGAGGGGTATGGCCTAAGAGTGAAACTTTGTCTACAACCAGCTATACACAATAAACCAATGGGATTTCCATTGGGTATGGCATCATTCTGATTTTGCTAGATCAGTGCTGTGCTGAGTAAAAAATTAGATAGAACATTTGGAGAGGGGGGTTGAATAATGCTGTCTACAGCTATGTGGTGGTATATATTCTACAGAATTAGCAGGATATTAGTACAGACAGAATCTGTCAGGTAGAGACTAATACTGAATAGCTGATTTATAAACCACTCTTAGGGGGCTATGATTGTAAGCATCATCTAGTGGCCAAATTTCCTTTTTACTGTTTGAGGTGTTAAAAAACAAATACTACATCATGTTTAATAGATGGCATTTGCAATCTTACAAGATAGTTATATAACACAGAATACAGCGACTTTAGTTTGAGCTGAGCGGATTTGTGTTACATTGCTTCAGAAAACTTTTTAAATATAGACCCTTCTGTGTTCATTGTAGTGTGCTGTGGGGCTTACTGTACTACAAATACACTATGTTAGACCAGGCAGGGAGGGAGTGAGTACCTCCATTTTGGATACATTTTTTAAATGTCCATGCTCACTTGACATTGCTGTTTGGGGCTTTTAATACTCCCTTTACACTATATTAGACCAGGCAGGGAAAAAGTGAGAGCCAATTTTTACACATTTTTTTAAGTCTGCTGTCACTGTCATTGATGATTAAAAAATGCTGTGGGGCCTATTTAACTATGTTTCTGCTTTATTAAACTTGGCATGGGGTGAGACTGCTAGATTAAAAAAAAAGTTTTTGAAAACCTCTATGATTGTCATTGATGCGTCTAAATAAAATTACTGTTCTGGGGGTTACTATTATAATTTAAAAAAACAAAACTATGTAATGAGTTTTCCATTAGTTCCAACCCATTTGATCCAGTGACACAGGGGTTGATTTACTAAAGGCAAATAGGCTGTTCTATTTGCAAGGTAAGTTTCCATTTTTACTGGTATGGGATTTACTATAATAATTTTTTAAAAAAGAAGCGAGTTTCCATTTGTTTCAACACATTTGCCCCGGGGACACAGAGGTTGAGTTACTAAAGGCACATAAGCTGTACACTTTGGAAGTGAATTCTCCCTAGAGCTTGGCGAAAGTGATGAAATTCACTTTGCAAAGAATATCCAATCACCTCAAAGGAATATTTAAAAACTGCATTTTTGCTTGGACATGATTGGATCATTTAAGTCAGCAGAGCTTCACTTCATTCACTAAGTTCCGAGGAATGTTCCCTTGCAAAATGAAGTCTATTTGTCTTTCTGTGACATTGCTTGTGGTGGCCTTTTGATATTTGTTTTCTCTTATTGCTGTTCAAACCAAAAACATTTAAATCTTTCTTTAAATTGTAACATTTGTATAAGACTAATACTTTCTTTCTTCCAGTGACACTGGGCCTTTTCTTGAGGCAGCCATCATCTTTTGATTCTATTATTGCTGTGGAAACCAAAAATGTGAAATACGTCTATGAATTACAACATTTTATAAGACAAATAATGGTAAGAGGTGGTAGAGGCTGAGGTAGTTGCAGCAACATGGATTTGAGGCATGGCCCAGCAGAATAATACACCGGTGAAAAACGAAGACAATGTTGCACAGCAGTAACATGATAGGAAACGGAGCAGGGTGCTCAAAAACAATGGGTGGCCCAAGGCAGTGAGCATTAGGTAGCAGATTCATCATCTGTCAGCAGAGGTACACAAAAAGAGCTGTAACCCCCTGCTAGGACCTCTGTCAATCTTTTCAGCTCTCTCTATTTTCCAATAAAACATTACATTAAAAAAAAGAGTAAAACATTCAAAGTATTACATTAAATACTAAAAAGATGTAAAAGATTCTAACAATATTATAAAATATTACAAATACAACATTATTCTAAGACATTCTTATGTAAAACTTGCCTTTAATGAGATTTAAAGGAACACATTTGCTCCAGTGACACAGAGGTTGATTTACTAAAGACAAATGAGGAGTACACTTTGGAAGAAAATTGGTGGATGGGGGGGGGGGGGGGGCAGTGTGACAGGTAGGGGACAGTGTGATGGGGTTGGGGGCAATGTGACAGAGGAGGGCAGTATTACAGGGGCAGTGTGACAGGAGGGTGGTAGTATGACAGGGGGGGTTTGTGACAGGTGGGGGGCAGTGTGACAGGTGGGATATTGTGACAGGAGGGGGGGTATGTCACAGGTGGGGGACAGAGTGATGGGGGTATTGTGACAGGAGAGGGGCAGTGTGACAGGTATGGGAACAGTGTGATGGGGGATATTGTGAATGGAGGGGGGGCAGTGTGACGGGGTATTTTGACAGGAGGGGAGCAGTGTGACTGGGGGAGTATGAAGGGGGGTAGTGTGACCAGTGGGGGTAGTGTGATGTGGGGCAGTGTGACAGGTGGGGGGCAGCATGACAGGGGCAGTGTGACAGGAGGGGGCAGTGTAACAAGTGGGGGGAATAATGGGGGCAGTGTGACAGGTGGGGGGCAGTGTGACAGGAGAGGGAAGTGTGACAGAGGTAATGTGACAGGTGGGGAGCAGTGTGATGGGAGGCAGTTTTATGGGGTGACAGTATGATAAGGGCATTGTGAAAGGGAACAGTGTGATGGGGGGCTGTGTGACAGGTGGGAACAGTGTGACAAGAGGGTATTGTGACAGGAGAGGGGCAGTGTGACAAGTGAGGGACAGTGTGATGGGGGTATTGTGACAGGAGAGGGGTAGTGTGACAGGTGGGATCAGGGGCAGACTGACAACTCATGGGGCCCCCGGGCAATAGGGGATCATGGGGCCCTGTGTCCTTGCCCAAACTCAAAAAAGCCTATGAAAAAGGTACCAGGGGCATCTCATGGGGCCCCCTACTGACCCCGGGCCCTCGGGCAGTGCCCGAGTTTCCAAATGGTCAGTCCGCCCCTGGGTGGGGTATTGTGACAGGAGGGGGGCAGTGTGATGGGGGTATTGTGAAAGAAGGGGGCCATGCGACTCAGGGAGTATGACAGAGCAGTGTGACAGGAGGGGACAGTGTGATGGGTGGAAATATGACAGGAAGGGCAGTGTGACAAGAGGATGCAGTGTGATGGGGAGGGCAGTGTGACAGGAAGAGGCAGCATGAGGGGAAGAGGGCAGTGTGACATGGGGCAATATGACAGGTGAGGTGGCAGTATTACAGTAGTGGGGCAGTGTGACAGATGGGGGGCAGTATTACAGGAGGGGGGCAGTATTACAGGTGGGGGGCAGTGTTACAGTAGGGTACTTGGACACACAGTATACTCACTCAGGTGCTGGGAACTGCTGTGGCAGAGAATATATGTTCTAGTCTGCCATGCAGGAGCAGCCTGGGGAAAGTAAATCTCTTACAATTACCTGGCAAGAGCAGCCTGGAACCAAGAAGCAGGAGTCAAGGGGCAGAGCTGGGAGGCAGAGCAGTCCCAACAACCGATGACTGCCAGAAACACCTAGAACCCGGCTGAATAGGAGTGGCAGCGGGGAGGCGTATTGAGCAGCCAATGCTCTGCATTCTCCTTGCAGCTGCTGAATGCCCGCTTCTCCTCCTCTCCCTCTTGCAGGCATTCAAAGCACGGGGCCAGGTCACAATTGTGACCTTTATAGTTACACCTCTGTATGTTATTGCAGATGACACCAAATTATTTAGTTCAATAGTCTTTACATGATATCAAGAACTTACAGGCAGCCCTAAAGGCACTGTTTGATTGGGCAACCTGATAGCAAATGAGGTTTAACACTGACAAATGTAAAGTTAAATGTAAAGGTATGCAATTGGGGGCTAAATATATGTATGCATCATGTATTCTAGGATGCGTACAACTGAAGGAGTCAATAACAGGATTCAATACACTTACAAGTAATAACACCAGAGATTGTTGATCAAGAGAATATCCAATTGCCTTCGGAAATTAGGAAGAAAATATTTATCCCTGGTGGAACAAATTGGACCATGCTTTAAGGTACCTTCCTCTGTATCAACTGTTAACATTGGAAATCTGTGTATGGAGTTATTCAATGTACATATTCATTTTTTATTGGTTGAACTAAATATACTTGTGTCTTTTTTTTTATCAGGCTAATTATGTGGCTATTGCAGGCCATAGACGGTTTGTTTATCGGCTGATTTTTCGTCTGAAAAATGAAACATCGGTCGTTCTGTTGCCCCCAATGATTGCAAAAATCGGCCGTTTTTCACAAATTTTCCAGCATAACCGATAAAAGAAATGAAGAGGAACCACAAAAAT